AGAACCCTAGAATAAATAATGTGCATTGCAGCTGACCAGATGATTTCGTAACTGACACTGGGGCCCCTCTGCAAGATGGAGGAGAGGCTGACAGATGTGAGGGCACAAAGGGCATTTGCCAGAGGAGGGAGAGACACTCGTTCCTCTTCCTTTCTGTGTGTGTATGGAGCGGAGAGCCTCAGTGTGGGCCTTTGCTGTCTTTCCAGTACCACCAAGCATAGGGGTATTAAAAAGAAAACAAAAAAGCCTGGTGGAGCAGTCCTGGGATAATGTAGGATTACAGCCTCCTTGTGGCACTTTTTAGCCATATGGGAGCCTCAGCAGGTTCCCAAAGCATCCTTCTCTTCATCCCTGAAGTGGAGGAGAGGGAGAAGGGAGGGCAACAGCGACATTGCCGCCTTAGAAAGAGTGATAAGGTTCTTAATAAGGTATTAATTGTAAGTCTTTCATTATAACTTAATGGTTCAACTTAAAGTATGTGATCGTTACGGCTGGCCTCTGTTAAGCTTGTTTTCCCACAAAAGTATGTGCACTTAAGTGAAAGGCAATATTTGTGGGTTTTCATCATACTTAGCTGCTCGAGGCTTAAGTTGTCATCTCTGAAGAATTTGTCTGCTGTCACATGATTCAGTTTGGATACCCATTATCCCAACTGGAAGATTTCCTTGCTTTGTGTCCAAATTGGCAGGAGTACTAAATGGCTAGGGTAACAACTGAGGTGCTAAAAAAGGTGTGGGGTGTTAAACATTTGAAATACTCTGGGCTTCCACAAACACTGATCGTTCTCAGCCCACTGTAAGGCAGATGACTGAGGGGGCAGCTTCGGGATGCTATTGGGAACAGCAGCTGCCTTGAGTGGAGCAGTAAACCCAAGGGGCCACACCGGCCAACTAGCCCCATGTGGTCTCATTTATCGGCACTGTGTTTTGAGCACAGCTATGATGAGTAAACTCCCTGGTGTGTTCCTTTTTTCCTCATAATCAGATATTTCCTCATTCAGGGAGGACAAGATCCTTGCTTGGGATTGGCCCATCTTGCATGTGTAAAGAGTGCTGGAGCCAGTACTTTGGGCAGTGATGTAGACTGGCCAGACCCCTCTAGAATGTTGTGGTTGCACTGGGGTGAGGAGGGGAACACATCTTGAGAAGGTCATTGGCAATGGAAATATGAGAGGGGCTGTGAACTCTCTGCAGATCCTATGGTGAGGCGCTTTAAGGAGAGGAAGGTGGAGCTTCACTTGGAGAAAGAAAGGCGGTGGAAGAGGGATGGGGGCTCAGCCTCTCTGCTCAGCTTTTTGAGGGCTGCTGATGTGGGAAGGGAATTTGACTTTCTCTATAACTCATCTCTCAGGGCTTTGTTCCCTCGTTTGTAAGAGCAGGAGTTGGATGGTCTCCCGAGGTCCCCCTCAGTGCTAACGCCTGTGACTAACCAGGCCCAGTGAGTGGGTGTCGCTGGAAGGACACTCCGAGAGTGAGCTTCCTGTTTGAGGACAGAACGTTCCAACACTGAAGTCTCTGGAAAAAAATTTAACATGAGACACACATGTAAATTTTAAGTTTTCTATAAGCCAATTTTTTTAAAGATAGGGGTAAAATTTTACTTATTTAATCCAACAGATACAAAATTTTATTTCCGTAAGTAAAACAACATTAATGAGATATTGTCATTCTTTTTTTTTCCATGTGTCTTCAAAATCCAGTGTGTGTTTTACACTCAAAGCGTGTCTCAATTTGCAATAACCATGTTTCAAGCACTTAATTGTCACCTATGGCCAGTTACTGCCACCACAGGCAGCATGTCTTTGTTCAATCCTATCAGCAGTCCTCTGAGAGTCCTGTTTTAAAATTGAAAAAACAGGCTGAGAGTGGTGGCTCACGCCTGTAATCTTAGCACTCTGGGAGGCTGAACCAGATAGGTTGCCTGAGCTCAGGAGTTCAAGACCAGTCTGAGCAAAAGAGCAAGACCCTGTCTTTACTATAAATAGAAAAACTAGCCAGGTGCTGTGGCAGGCACCTGTAGTTTCAGCTACTTGGGAGGCTGAGGCAAGAAGATCGCTTGAACCCAAGAGTGTGAGGTTGCTGTGAGCTGTGATGATGCCACGGCACTCTATCCCAGGGCTACAGAGTGAGACTGTCTCAAAAAGAAAAATCAAACTTATAACTTGCACAATCCCATGCAGCTAATATGCAACAGGAGCCCAGATTTGGCCTTAGATTTGTCTGAGCCCAGGGTCCTTGACCTTAGTACACTGTGGGGGGAGGTAGTTGAGTTCACTGTCCTGGGACTGACTGGTTCCTATAGAACGTCTGGGGTAGAACTTAGGCAGCAAATTCCACAGGCCTGACGTGAAGCAAATTCCAAGAGGAGTAGGCCAAATGGGCAGTTTGTCCTTCAGTAACTCATGATCAAATATTTTCTGCCACTGGTAGGGCACATTTTTGTGACCCTAGTCTTTTGGTCATTAGGCAGCTTCTCTAAAGAAGACGGACTAGGCATTTCCTGGAAGGGGATATCATAAAGAGTTCCTAGAATATTCATTCAAATAAGAACCAGTTACTATGTTTATATTTTTAAAAGTCACCCAGGGCTTTTATTTTTAACTCGCCGTTCCTGTTTAATGCACTGACGTGGTATGAGGATGGCTGGAGAAGGGAGGTGGACAGGGAGGAGAGGACATGCGGCTTTCTCAGCCGCAGGAGCCGTGCCATCCCCCATGTGGCTGTAATTAGCTGTGTGCCCACCTTTGACTCTCCGCTGAGCACATAGCTGCGCATTCCCAGACAGCCCATAAATCCCCAGCACCGGCGGGTCCTGGGGCCAAAGGAAATGGTTCCTCGAGGCTGGGCCGGGGGAGGAACGGTGGCCACATTGTGATCGTTCTTCTCAGGCAGGCTTGCAATAAATAGGAAAGGAGAAAAATCATTTACAGATGGTTTACTCCATTTTATCCTATTTTTAAAATCATGTATTTGGAATTAATTTGGAGGGTTTCTGCTGTCATTTGGCATAAGTTGTCTCTGCACATCAAAACTGGAAAACTTTGTTTTTATTCCCTTTCTTTTTTGCAGTTTTTGGCTGGGGCCAGGCTTGAACTCGCCACCCCTGGTATATGGGTCCGGCACTCTACTCCTTGAGCCACAGGTTCTGCCCTTTTTTTTTTTTTTTTT